TCGACAATTCATGCTCAGTGTAGCCTTCCACCCACACCATCCAAATGTGATATTTTGGTCATTGTATCTCGTTGATAAGGTGTTTAATTCTGGCTTGCTTGGGCTTTGCGAACTGAGTTTGTTTATTATTCCGCAGTCCACACTTCTTGAGTGAAGCGAGAGCAATAAATTATGCCTCACATCCGTCGTTTGTAAGGTGAATTGCGTTCGCGGGAGAAACGTTCGTCACAACCTCGACGACTTTCTCACACACACACGTCAATGATCACATATTTTCATTTTGGTCCGTTATTTGGAATCCCTTCAAAATATGACAAGCCATAGTACCCTTTCTCCCATAGACATACAGTACACCCAAAGAATTCAAAGCCTCACGTAACCGATAAATAGATATGTATACACATACATGTATGTATATACAGTATATATACGATTCGGTTCAAAAACTCTAGGCGAAACCGACAGATCAAGAGAACAAAATATCTCGTGAAACTGACGGCAAGGTTACACGCGTATTTACGATGATGAAGATAAAAAAAAGTTGTCATTTTCGCATTCATTGTGCTCATCTTTATACCACAACCGAGGAGGCTGATTTACCTACGTACTGTACGTACGCACCCGCACCCGCACCGTCTGTCGATCATAATACTTGACCCAATTTCCGTAAGCGCATGTATAAATACGGCTAAGAAAAATCCTCTCTCCGGAAATTTGTTCATTATTCCGCGAGCTTACTTTTGTACCATAATCATTTTACTCCATGCTTTCGACGGTTCTTCATGTTTTTTGAGGGGATTTTTCTTTCTCGGCGGCATGCAACGATAAATTAAGTTTTAAGCACAAAAAAATTCTTCCTCACACACCTGACGCACAATCATCCTATGAAACAAACGTAATGGAATAAGGGTTTGTGATACTCGGGGCATGCTCACGTCGTCATCAAGGGTCGACCCTTCCTCTCATATGGTATACTTGGTATATATAGCAGTATATCATTCTTATTTTTTCTTCTATTGGTTTACCCCGTTTGGATTAATGTTTCACAACATCCTTCCAACAGGATGTCTATTTCCGGTCCCATTTTGACCGGAGATTCAGGTTCATGAAGAATTAACGTGCGTACGTACGTGTTTCGGCAAAAGTGTCACCCGTAAAATTTTTGTGACACTATTATAAACTACGTTTACGTACCTGACTTGAAACAAAACTATCATTACGTGCGTAAACGTATCTATCGATAAGAGTTAAAATTGTCCTTTGGAAAACACGAGGTAACACCAATTCGCCGAACTATTTATTTGCATGGAAAAAAGGATTTGTAATACTAAGGTTTTGGTTATGGTCAGGTGAGAATTATGACGCATCGGCGCATCGGTAATTTCTTTTTGATCATTTATGACTAATCAAAACCTACTATCAAATTAATGATACCATCTCGATCGTAATTGGTCAAAGCAATCACGAGCTCCTTCATCTTTTTATTTTTAAAATTTCCTTTACCCAATTACTGTAACAGTTACGATTAATATTTAATAAATATTATTTATTAAAAATTTTTATGATTACCAATTTATATTAGTTAAACATGTTATATTAGTATGAATAATCTATAAAATAAAAATTCGTTACTTTCAATTCTACAGTATATAAAATATTTTTTATCAATATGGTTTAATTAAAAATCTTAATAAAGTTTATCTGATTTATAATATAAAAAATTTTTTTAAAATCAATAATTAACTTATATAATGTATATACTTTATATAATATTATTGTATTAATAATATTATTTATTTGATATATATATTAAAATAATTAATTATAAAATAAAATATTAAAATATTAATAATTGATTTTTTTTAAAAAAAAAATCTTACCAATAATTTATTTATATATTATATAATATATAATATATTCCAAAAAAATAATATCTTTTATATATACAATATTTACAATAAATTAAATATTAATTTATCTATAACAATTATTTAATATTAAACAGTTATATATATATAAATATTTTTATAGTAGAATGGTATTAGATATAAATTTTTATTGAATAATGATCAATTTTATATTACTGTATATCAAATATTATCTATTATTATTACAACAGTTAAATGCTAGCCTATCTATTTTATTATCTTAGCAATACTAATAATACTCATAAAGAAGGTTCATATTTTTTGGAAGAAATCTATTTAAAAGATGGAAATTCTATCATTAGTTTTAAACTATCTAATCTACTAATCAATTTTGTATAAAAGCAATAGATATTGCTGACTATTTTCTAAGGCCACTTATTACATTATACCTTTTTATTCATATAGCTAATGTAATAAAGGGATCTTAATGTAAATATATACTTTCTAGTGAATGCTTCAATTTTTATTCACTAATTGACACTAGCTATCAAATTTAGGGATTTTTGTGACCAAGTGGAATATGACTCTTTAAAAACCATACAGACCATATTAAGCAAGCTTCCAAAGTCTTTTATCTCCTAATAGACACTCCAGTTCAAAACTGATTGGTTTAAGTTATTAAATCTAGAGGTATAAATGCCAAGTAGGATACAACTTCTATATATATATTAAACCATGGGTAACCATATCATAAGATGGTAATATTAATTCAATACCCTTCTTCAAAGCTTCTTTATTCACTAACTAACAAGAAAGGAAAATATTGTATAAGTTTGATAAGATGAAGTACAATCCAATCTGTACATCCAAATAAATAGTTATTATGAAAATTAATAAGAATTGATTAAGATGAAGTATAGCCCAGTTTGTATATTCAAATATATGGGTGACATTTTTTATTAAACAATTATTATAATATTAATCAAACAATTATTATATCACTATACTTTAATAAGAAAATCATAATCTCAATATTTACTGGATTAATATATGAAATAACTTTTTATAAGAAACAACATATAACAAATTATAATATTAGATATATTAATTCTATTCAATTATTTTTACATGGAATTGAACTAGTATTTTGTGATTTGACCTATGAAATACCAATTATTATACTATAGATTTACAGATCTAATATTAAATATTTATAAATATTTATTTAAAATAAATAATTAAATAAAAATTTATTAAATATTAAAATATTTTAAATAAAAAAATTTTATAATCAAAGTAAAAAATAAATTAAAATATTATTTATTAAAAATATACTTATTAATAATATATAAATTTAATAAAAAATTTTAAATAATATTATTTATAAAAAATAAAATTTTAAAATATATATATATATATTAGTAAAATAAGTATTAGATATCAATCACTTTATTGATATATATATAAATCACAATTATATCAAATATCATCTGTATACATGTGGTAAAAATTGGTAGATCCTTGATGCAATTTGATGCAATTATTATTATTATTATTTTTTTTAGCTTGACTAGTTAAGCCTTACCTAGTATGATATTGATATTTAACAAACATATGTATCTTATATGTTTTTATATAGATAATTACTATCTATTGGCTATTCTATACATCACTAGACTATATTAGATTTTACCCCATATCAGCTTGTTGCTATTGACTATCAGATTTCTGACAAGTTAAGGTTAACATGCCCATACTCCATTAGTATCACTATTATATTTAAATAATGTTCTATTTCTAACTGGGGATATTTAAGGAAAAGTGAAAGGGAAACTTGGAAGTAGTACCTATTAGGTGAATAGAACTCTATAGAGAAAGTCTTCTAATTCAATTGGAGTTGAGACCACTTGTAGGAAGAGATATCAGGTACCATGAAGAGACGATCACCAAATCATCTTGCTCTAAACCGGATGTCTTCAATATCTTTTTAGTTTTTAACTTCTGGTAATCATCGTAACACCAACTGGATAATTGTCTACCACAGCATCTTTTCTGGAGATCATAATCTTAATGCCTATTG